TACTCAGTCTCAAGGTCAAAGCCTTAGACCACATAATCGTCCAGAATTACCATACATCTAAATCTTAAACTCTCACATACCGTACTCTAACCCCAAGTCATTCTCCCCAACACTCACCATGTTATCAAATCTGGTCTCTGAGCGTCAGAGACCACTGGTCCCCTGAATCTGAGGGTTCCTCTTCTGTACCTCTCCAAACTTCACTCCATGGTGTTCGCTTGCTCTACTCTCACTAGAGCCCTCAATTTCCTCATGCTCACAACATCCTTTTGCCAAAACTGCTTCTGAACACCAGCTCTGTAAGTGCTACCATTGTTTTTTTCTGTTCCTGTGAGGGGTAGTTTGACACATCCCTGGAGAAGATATCAAATGTCCAAGCAAATTGCTTCACTACTACGGGTCCTTGGCATATTCTGTCTCTCCTTTTGTTTATAGTCAGGCATCTTTCCTATTGCTGTCAATGACGTTCTAGTCTTTTTTGTTTTCCTTAAAATCCCATGTCAATTTTTCTAGTTCTTCCTTAGCTGCTTGATAACTTAGTGTTCCAACTCTGAAGGCTTCAATCTTGGACCTCTTCTTTTCATATTTGTGCTTACTACCTTGGTGATCTCTTCTGGTATTGTGGTTTTAAATACCATGTACAAGTTAACAATCCTAATAATTTTATCTTTAGCACAGACTTTCCTCTAAACTTGACTTCCATACCTACAATTCCACTTGGATCTGTATTTGGCATATTACATTTGATCTTTATTCTCAGACTAGCTTCACCTGTTGTTTTCCCCATTTTAGTGAATAAAATTTCATTTCTTGTGATTATTCAGGTCAAAAATTTTGTACATGTCTTGATTCTTATCTATCTTTTATATCCCACATCTAATTTTTAAGATAATTCTAAGTTTTTCTTTGAAATCTAGCCAGAACCAAGGTACCTGGGAGGCTCAGTCAGTTGAATGTCTGACTTTGGCTTAGGTCATGATCTCACAGTTCCTGAGTTTGAGCCCCACGTGGACTTGTTGCTGATAGCACGGATCCCACTTCAGATCTTCTGTCCCTCTCTCTCTCTGTGCCTGCCCCACTCACGCTCTCTCTCTCAAAAATAAATAAAACATTACAAAAAATTAAAAAAACTAAAATATAGTCAGACTCTTAACATTTCTTATTGTGATTACTGCAACAACCCAAGTTCAACCTACCATTTTCTCTCCCATGGGTTACTGCCATAGCCTTATAGCCAGTCTTCATAGCTTCTGCCTATTGAAAGTAATATATATTTTACATATTTATTTTGTTTACTTCTTTCTCCACAGAATGTAAACTCTATTAGTGTGCTCACCATTACATCGCCAACACCTAGAGTGATGTCTTAGCATTTAGTAGACATTTAATAAGACCTTGTTGAAAAATTGAAAGTAAGTAGAAGGCATAATACTCAAGTGAGGGTTGATTTTAGTGGGATCATACTGGCAGGACTGAAGGCCACTCGAAAGACAAGGATGTGGGTGGGTGAGTAGATATAGTGATGGGGACCTTGGAAATTCTTGTTTGACTGCTCTAGTTATCTCAGTGAAATAAGAAACCAAGTCATCGGGTCAGAGTAAGACCATGGAAGAAGATATTGAGGGTGTGAAAAAAGGAGAGGATGTGAGTTTTCTAGGCAAATGGGAGAGTGAATGGACTATAGAACTATAATATGTTTATAGAGCAACATTGAAGGGCCTGCTTGAGGCTCAGAGTCATAAATTTGAAGTGAAACCGGTAAGCACAGTTGTGTGATTTCTTCCAATTACATACCTTTGTGGTGAAGGGGTAGATTAGGTAGCAGGTTAGATTTAGTGAGGACTGTGATTTGTCCAAATGGGAGGGATGATGTGAGAGAGGGCAGGGCACTTGAGGAGTATGCATGGGGTAAACACAGTCACTGAGGCTGGCTAAAATAAAAAAGAAGTATGGGAAAACATAATGTTGGAGGGATCAGTAGATTTTCCTTCTGGTGGGGTCTGAGAAATGTTGCAGCTGGAGTATGAGAGGGAGGTGTGGAAAGAAAAGAAGTGGAGATCAGAGAATGGAAAATGTGACATTACAGAGGGCTGGTGGCTATTGGTTGAGGCTAGGGATTGAGGGGCAAGAAGGAGCAGAGGCCAGGTCAACACAATATGAGGAAAATTACCCATGGGCTGTGATACCGGGTATTAAGCAAAGCAGAGTGTTAAAGGGAGTGGAATTGAGCCACGAACTAAATCTTCAAAGAAAGAAGAGCTTGCTTAATTTGGGTGTGGGCAGATGACAGTGAAGATGAGAGGTCATGAGTGGTATAGACTCTTGACATGAGATTCACATCTGGAAGTTTCTAGGTAGGAGGAAAGAAGAATGGTCTGGAAGTAGTAAAGGGGAGTGAGGAGGACACTCTTGTACTTCCAGGTCCAGTGTGAGGGAAAATAGCAACCATTGAACAAGCTTCTTAGAGACAGAGCCCTTCAGAGGAAGCAGTGGTTTGATTAGAGTGAGGATGGAGAAGAGCTTAAGGACATGGGAGATTGTATGATGGCTGACTGAATTTCAGAATGTGTATGGTAGAAATACTTCATGAATTGGGATGGGGCACAGATGGGAAAAGAATGAGGGGGTGTGCATAGCACACAGGAATTGCGGGATGACTCCAGCCTGGGTTCCTCATAGGGGCTGACATGGATGGGGTTAAAGGGAAGGCCACAATGAAGCCTGAGAGGTCCAAGGCACAGAAAGTGGGCACAGTTTAAAGGGAGAGGAAAGTGAGGGTCCTGCCGGGGTGTATCATATTTCTTGTGACAGAGGCATGGAGGTAGCCGAGGGGCAGTGTTACTCTGATTAGATGGAGTTTATTTTACCATCAGTGTTGATTATGCCACCTTTCTGCTTCCACCACTGCACCACATTCGTGAGATTTTCTGTATCTTCATTCATTTTCTCTGGACTCAAAGGAGGCCATGTTCCTTCTCCCGTTCTCTTAACATATTTTGCCTGCTTCCTCCAGGACCTTGTTTTGCTTTCCTTCTCTTCTGGCTCCTTTCCCAAGTCTATAGACATGTTCAGGTCCACCCTATTACATGCCAGCAGAGGCACCTCTTTGACTCTCCTTCCCTCACTAACTCCTCTCAACCTCCCTCTTTACCCTTTATCCAGATTTCTAGAAAGAGAAATTTACAGCTGCACATTCTCTTTTTCCCTTTCATTTAGTCCTCAATCTATTGCTCTTGGTTTTCTGTGCTTGTCACTAGTCACATGTCTTTTAAAACCAGAGTTACCGGGGGCACCTAGGTGGCTGTGCGTCTGACTTCGGCTTGGGTCATGATCTTGCAGTTTATGAGTTCAAGCCCCCCATTGGGCTCTCTGCTGTCAGCACAGAGTCCACTTCAGATCCTCTGCCCCTCCACTGCTTGCGCTCTCTCAAAAATAAATAAAATGTGGAACAAAAACCCAGAGTTATCTATCTAAAATTCTAATGTGACTACTTCATTTCCCAATATACGGTGCTGTAATTGTTCTCTGTTGTCAATCAGACAGAATCCAAGTTTGATATGTACCCCCCACTGCTGCTGCCCTTCCATGATTTCAATCATCTGGTTTTCTTTGCCTGGGATATCCTTATCTTACTCTTCCCTGGGACCAAATTTCAGGTGTTGCCTTTTACAGAGCTTCCTAGATTGGGTAGGCAGGCACCGCTCAACACTTTTCCCTTAGTGGTTTGTGCATCCCCTTTTTTCTTCTTGTGTGTGGTCTACTGACTATTTCCTATTCATTATGGCATCCCTAGCTCCTTGAGTTCCTGCCACACAAAAAATAGTAAACACAATCATTCTGGTGCAGCCACTCTGGGGAACAATATAGAGCTTCCTCAGAAAACTAAAGACAGAACTACCCTACAATCCAGCAATTGCACTATTAGATATTTACCCAAAGGATACAAAAATACAGTTTTGAAAGGATACATGCACCCTAATGTTACAGCAGCATTATCAACAATAGCCAAATTATGGAGAAAGCCCAAATGTCCATTGACTGATGAATTGATAAAGAAAATGTGACACACACACACACACACACACACACACACACACACGGGAATATTACTCAGCCATCTAAAAGAATGAAATCTTGCCATTTGCAATGACATGGATAGAGCTAGAATGTATTATGCTAAGCAAAAAAAGTCAATCAGAGAAAGACGAATACCATATAATTTCACTCATATGTGGATATTAAGAAACAACTGAGGGTTGATGGAGGGGAAGTGGTGGGGAGATGGGCTAGATGGGTGATGGGTACTAAGGAGGGCATTTGTGATGAGCACTGGGTGTTGTCTGTAAATGATGAATCCCTGAAAACTACTTCTAAAACCAATATAGTACTGTATGTTAACTAAAATTTAAATAAATTAAAAAAATAAACACAATCATTCTTGAATTATTAAAGCATGAATGAAAGAGAAAGTGGGTCCTCAAGGAGAGACATTGGTGTTCTAATCGCTAAAAAAGCATTCTTTCAATTTTAAATCCAGTTTTTAGTATTCTCATTAGTGATACATGTTGGAAGTTTCTTGCATGGTTGTGATTATGAGTCAAATTAAAACTGCTAACCCAGGGTTAAATGAATAAAAGTCAATTTTGAAACAGACTAGATGCTGTGTTTGTGATGATCCTACTGAGGTAGAAGTGCCCTATAATATTCCAAAAGACCACCTAGCCAATCTACTGTTTTGTTGCCATCCCCCTACAACAGGATCTTTCTGGGGTTGTACTGCTTTCTCTGATAAATGGAATCATAAAAAAAGGGGGGAGGATCTGATCCACTGTGACTGTTTTTTAGCTGTTTTTTTTTTTTTTTTTGGCAACCATACACATGACCACAGGATAATAGGCAATTTATCAAAATAACTGAGATAAATATCATGGGGTATAGAAAATAAAGTCAAGATAAACCTTTGACAGGACTGAAGGTCTAATTTATTACATGTCTCATAGGTCTCTTCTGGTGATTCTGAAGCCAAACCTCTGATCTTCACATTTGTCCCCACTGTCAGAAGACTACCAACCCACTCTAAGTTGGCTGACACCTCTAAATTCCTTGTTAAAATTCCTGAGGAACCAAGTGATAAGAATCCAGAAGCTGTAAATAGGGTAGGATTACTTTTATTCTTTTTTTTTTATATTAAGCAACTTTATATTAAACATTCAATTGTCCATAATAATGACTTGGAAATTTGTATGAATGTTTATTTCCTTTGCATAAAGTGAGATGTCTGTGAAATGTAAGGTTGACCAAAAATATAAGTGTGTAATAGAAACTGAAACATTATCATACCCCTGCTTCTCTCTAATACACTATTCTCAACTCATGAGTTGACACCCTGTTCTTTGCTATTCACATGACACATTTTGCCTCCTGGCATTTTCCCTTCTCCCAAATATGTCTTAAAATAATAAAAACAAAATTTCCTGGGAAGTTTGAATTTATCTTGATAGAAAATACAAAATAAAACGGTGAGACATTATTTTTTACATGCAATAAATTAGCAAAATTTAAAAAGTGTCATATACAGTACTGGGACAGTTGTGAAGGTATTGGCATGCTCATGCTTTGCAGCTAGCTCTATGAATTTATGCAATTTTGGTGGAAAGCCCTTATCCATAGTTTTAAAACTGTCATAATTTGGGGCGCCTGGGTGGTGCAGTCGGTTAAGCGTCCGACTTCAGCCAGGTCACGATCTCGCGGTCTGTGAGTTCGAGCCCCGTGTCGGGCTCTGGGCTGATGGCTCAGAGCCTGGAGCCTGTTTCTGATTCTGTGTCTCCCTCTCTCTCTGCCCCTCCCCCGTTCATGCTCTGTCTCTCTCTGTCCCAAAAATAAATAAACATTGAAAAAAAATTAAAAAAAAAAACTGTCATAATTTTCAATAACTAACTCTTAGAAACGTAGTTAGCCGGTGGCCTGGCTAGTTAGCCTGTAGTTAGCCTGGGTGGCTAGTTAGCCTGTAGTTAGCCTGCAGTTAGCCTGACCTGTAGTTAGCCTGGGTGGCTCAATTGGTTGAGCATCTGGCTCTTGGTTTCGGCTCAGGTCATGATCTCACAGTTCATGAGCTTGATCCCTTCATTGGGTTCTGAGCTGACAGTGCAAAGTCTGGTTGGGATTCTCTCTCTTCCTCTCTCTCTCTCTCTCTCTCTCTCTCTCTCTCTCTCAAAAATTAAATAAATAAACATAAAAAAAAGAAATATATTTTAAGGAAATAGTACAAAGGCAGAAAAATGTCATTTAGGAAAGCAATTAGGGAAAAATAAAAATAGTCTAATAGCTAATAATCAGAAAAATAAAATTAAGAATATTATAATAAATTACTTTTACAAGGTTATAATTATAGTGATTATGTAATTCCATGGAAAGTATTAACTTTATAATAGTAAGCAACAACATAGGTTATAAAATTGTATTTATACACTGATTATGCTTATCCAAAATGAGACCAAAACTGGAAATAAAATTAAAACAGACAAAAAACCCTGATAATGACTTGTGTTAGCGCAATGACAGTTTGGCTAAAAAACCCTTTCTCTTTAAAAAATATATTTAAGGGGTGCCTGGGTGGCTCAGTTGGTTAAGTGTTCAACTCTTGATCTCACCTCAGGTCTTGATCTCAGGGTCCTGATTTCAAGCCCTGTGTTGGGCTCCATGATGGGTGTGGAACCTACTTAAAAAATGTATTTTAATACTGTCTTATTATGAATAAAATGTGACTGGGGGATTTCGTGGTGTTCTTGATTCACTAAAAAGGGGCAAAATAATCTGATTCACCTTGGGTGTATGAAAACATCTTATCTGGAAAGCTATAATATATCTGTGATCCTGAGATTTTTCAATGCTACTGCCTTATTTCAAAGACTATTAAGGCCACATTATTTCAGGGAGATCCTACACACAACAGTTGGAATGTCCAGGAAATTTCTCTCTAAGAGTTCTCAAATATGTATACACACACACACATAGTTATGGTATCCTTTGTTATAGGTGCTATGAGCATATGAGATGACTGTGGACATATATATTAATCTTGGTTGCAAACTTCCAGAGCTTCCTGAGACATTGATATTTATTTGCTGATTGCACTGAAATGCACACAACTATATCTTTAGAATATTCAAGATTTTTCTTCCTATTTTTTAAATAGTTCAATATTATAATAGGGCAGGCTAAATAACCCCTTTATAATTTATATATTCAACCACTGTTTACTGAATGCATTATGTGTTTGGTGCAGTGAATTCTGAATTAATAAAGTCAACTCCTGTAACTCATTATTGGGAAGGCATACAATAAACAAAGTGAAAAGCATATAATGAAATCTCAGATAATGATAAAGCTGTACAAAAGTACATCAAACTAAAGGAATAGAGAATGATGGACTATGGGGAAGGGAATTATTTTAGATCACTAATAAGGTTTTCGAAGACTAGTTCAATTTTTGCCATCTTTTTAGTTATTGTTACTTTTTATAATAAGCAATCTGTCTCTGAATCCTTAATTTTCTTAAAAGTTTATTTATTGTGATAAAGAGAGAGAATGAGCAGGGGAGGAGCAGAGAGAGAGGGAGAGAGAATCTCAAGCAGGCTCTGCACTGTTAGCATGGAGCCCACCTTGGGGCTCGATCCTACAAACTGTGAGATCATGACCTGAGCTGACAATCAAGAGTCAGATGCTTAACTGTCTGAGCCGCCCAGGCGCTCCTGAATCCTTTTATATTTAATTTAAACTTCTTTCTAATTTGGGTTTTTATTATTGTATAGCATTATAATTTAATATGTGAAATGACCATTGTCAGAGAAATCCTAATCAGAAGCAATTTACGTTTATCTTGACTAAATCATCATCAGCTAAGAAATGTACAGTGGGTATATAAAATCACCTTTTTAGTTATATATAATCAGTAGTTTGACTTCTATTTTTACACATATGATATATATGCATATAATAGCACATGTTAAGTTTACTACCACAGTTGAAATTTCATTTATTTTAGTTTATTTAGTGTCTTCTTTATTATTTTTTATTCTGCAGTAATTTTAGACCTAAAGAAATGTTGCAAAGAAAAGGATAGTAACCACAGCATGGTTATCAAAGCCAAGAAAATAAACGTTGGGTCTTTTAAATACAATCTTAATGTACAGTACAGTTATCATTTTAGAAAAAGATGCCTGATAGTTTGATAAAGCTATCGTACTTTGGTCTTGTAAACCCTCTCTGTACTCATAAAAAATTGGATGGGAAAAGATTAGAATTACAAAAGAAAATAGTGGTGAAAAATACTTTGTACTAAAAATACTTTTTTTTCCTGGTGTCTGATTCTTGAGTTCCTCCCAATTAGTTTAGATTGTTTTGTTTGAATACCTACACATTTTGTTCTAGTTTTATTTTTCCTCTCAGACTTTCAGAGACATTTGTACTATTTTAGGAACTTTCAGTGAGGTTTCCTTTCTCTCTGACTTATACAGGTTTTGCCTGACCATTAACTAAATACTTGACCAACGCCCATTTGTTTCATGAATGCCTTCATGGGAAACATTGCTATCTCTATTTCTTTTTAAGAAATTATATCATGATTTATTTTAAAGCAGGTTTACTTGATATTGATTCTGAGCTTGAAGTTGTTTGGGCTTGGACTAGGGCAGACAACCAGGCTAGTAAAAGTGAGCCATTAACTTCAGGGGTGCCTGGGTGGCTCAGTTGATTAAGTGTCCGACTTCAGCTTGGGTCATGATCTCATGGTTTGTGGCTCAAGCCCCGCACTGGGCTCTGTGCTGACAACTCAGAGCCTGGAATCTCCTTCAGATTCTGTGTCTACCTCTTGGCCCCTTCTGAGTTTGTGCTCTCTCTCTGTCTCTCTCTCTCAAAAATAAAAATAAACATTAAAATTTTTTTTGAAAAAAAGTAAGCCATTAATTTCAATCCAGTCTCTCCTAAGTCAACCTGATTTTTAAATATATTTCTAAAAATTCTAGTCTTTGGAAATCATAAGCAGGTTAAACTTTTAAGAGTACAGGCAAAACAGAAGCCAGTGTCAAACCAATGTCAATGCTTTTATGTCTCTACATTAATTACAGTCTGATTCCAATGAGTACTTGACCTTGAATGCTGGGAGCCAACGGGAGAGAGACCAAGGAACATTGATTTATCCTTCAGAGGTCAGTGAAAATATTTCACAAGGAAGGGGACTCAAAGCAAACGAACTTCAAGGAATGCAGCAAAGTGACCTCTTTAAAGCTGAATATGTCTTTGTTGTGGACTCGGAAGGGGAAGATGAATCTACCAGTGGAAAAGGTGAACAAGGCCCCCCTGGAGGGATGGGCACCACAGCTTCTCGGCCCAAGTCTCTAGCAATTTCCTCCACTCTGGCCTCTGATGTGGTACGTCCCAAGACACGGGGGACAGACCTCCAGGCCCCATCACATCCTGAAATGTCTCATGGGATTGCCCCTCCGCAAAAGCATGGGCAGGTAGGTTTTTCTTCTTGTCATAGAATAAAAGAAAATGTTGACATACTCTTTATCCTAGGCTGTCTGCAAAGGCCTTCCTGTTTGAAGCAAATAAAACTCTCAAAGAGAAAAGATACTAAAAAACCAAAATCCCAAGATCATAAATCATCAGAGTAAATATAGATAATTAATTCATAAGACAAAAAAGATTATATAATTGTACTGCGAGTTGGCTGAAGAGAAAATGTAAAATATTCAGCTGGAGTGGATCTGGGGGAATGTTATCTCTTACTTTTGAATAATTCTTGGAAGAGGTTGATATTGGGACTTTCTTAGGAGACAGTGCTGGGTTAGCTGGCTGCATCCAAAAGCATACTTCAGATAGGAGAAAGATCCTGTGGGAAGACATCAATTGAATATCAGATGTAGACACATTACTTTTAAACTGCTGAAAGAGTAGTAAAAGGACAGGCTAGGAAACAAGAGTGTGTAAGAAAAAAGAAATCTCACTTGTGTGTCTTATGGAGAGAATCTGTTGTAGTCCTGGAACCCACCAGTGCAGGGCTTGCCTCAGTGAAATGGGGAGAAGATTCCACCCCAAGACTTAGCAGCAAAATTGAAGAGTTCCTTTAAGATGGAGAACCTATTTAAGATCCATTTCTGTGATGGGCAGGAAAGAAAGGAGGTGGATAGAGAGGGATTTTGAAGGGAAAAATATGAAGGATTTGCCATTGGCTGGCTAATTGTTATAATGAAATTATAAAATGGTTTTGATAAGGCCTAGGTAGAATGTCAGGAATGCAAAGGCTGGCTTTGGGAGTGGATAGTGGATGCAAAGTTCTCTTTTGTAAAGCAGGAGTCAGTATCATGATGTCCTATTTAGGATCTGTTAGACAAGGCACTTGCAAGCATCTCAAAGTAGTTGGGAGAACATTTTTATTGGTGAGTTGGCCCTTTGGGGCTGATAGGACCTATGCATAATTGTAGAGTAGGCATCTTATTTGGGTGTCACCCTATCTTCATTTCTGCAGCTTTCACTGACTTCCTGATGCTTAATTTATGTCACTTTTAAGTATCCAGTATCCTTAGGCTACTCTTTCATGGTAGAAGACTCTCACTAGGGTACCCCCATCTTGGTCTACTGGACTAAAACATTTATTTCCTCTCAAAATTTATTCTCAATGATTGGAAATGTTCTAATTATATAACTAAACATATTCTCAGTAAGCAGTGTTAGGCTTAAACATTTCTTTCTTGCCTCAGGAAAGATGATGGAATCACCAAGTTGTAGACATGGGGGCTCTCATAGTCAGGGGAGGGTAATTTTATCTGGCCCCTGTGAAGAAGAACATAAAGGCATGATGATAAAAAATAGAAGAAAACAAAGAAAATATTCTTAATGAAGCAATTTTTGGATTTTTGATTCACTCCTTCCCCCAGTTGTTAGGTTTTTTCCCCCTGAGTTGGTCATTTAACTTGTTTTTATGTGATCAAATATATATAAGTCAAACTAGAGACTGGATACATATCTTGGGATCTTTTTTCCAAAATATATTATTTTGCAGTAGGTTATAGTTCATGTTATCAAAGCTCCTAATGAAAAGGCAAATTCAACCTAATTCACTAGTAGTGGCTGAAAATTATGGTTACCACTAATGGAGGAATAGTAGACCTTGAAAAGTTTGGGAATAACCATTGTTCCTGTTTCCATTTCCTATAATAATCCATTTGAGTGATGAATAGTAGAACATCATCAAATAAAAATAAGATGAAATAAGGTAACTGTTACCCACAAATGTTTACATCATTTACAATGATCCAGGCACCAAAGAAGGCATTCAGAATTTTAATGTAGTCAGTAGTAGGAACAACAACTCTAAAGAATATCCTGATTGGATTACTTCATGCCAACAACGTCAATTTTTCAATCAGAAAAGTAGTCATTTAAGTGAATTAACTGGTAAAAACGAATCCATGTATAGAACTGTCTACAAATTAGCACTATTAGCAACAATTTATTAAGCTATCCTAAAAAATGCCTTCAGTTCCTGGTTTGGCTTTTAACTTTTCAATAAACTAGCTTAGATGTCATTTTCTGTTCATATCTTGTATTTCTCTTCCTCAGTTCTTCTGAACTATCACAAAAGTACACACTTCATAGCTTTCCATCCCTGAGCCCCTGATTCCTCTTTGTAAAGCTTATTTCTTCCCCAGACCCATCTCCATTTTGGCCTGGGCTACTTAACACTAAGCTCAGCAGAAGGAGCACCTCTTCCACTTTCCATATATATTTTTAGCCTTTTTAGAAAATCTCTATTATAACTCCTTTTCACTGTGTTGTAATGACACATCATTTTTTCTTCCTCAGTAGGCAGAGAACAACTTAAGTCAAGCTCTATCTCATTTATTTCTGTGTTTCCAGCACTTACTACAGTGTCTTTCACATAGGTGAGGTTCAGTAAGGTGTGTAAAAGGAATACATTTTTAAGTATTCACAGCTTTGGAGTCCTTGCACAGATATTGACCCCTTCATGAAGTCAGCTTTGGTTCTCTGAGTCAGAATAAACTCTCCCTCAATATGATTTTGATAGCTATTTCTTTTTGTCTTTTTTTCTTTTGGTACATCTTTTATAACAATTATCCTATTTCAGCATGTATTATAACTATTTAGGTGCATACCTTATCTCCCCTAGCAGATTGTAAAGTCTTTAGAGGTAAAAGTCCATGTTAAATCCATTTTTATTAAACATGTTGTTCCCTATAGTGATTATTATATTATCATGAATATAGTATATATAAATATTGGGTTGAATATATTTATATCCCAAATACTTTCACGGAAGTGGCATGTTTAAATAAAAGCACATTATGTTAAAAAAATCACTAGACAATTAAAAACTTTAAAGTGTAGGTCAAAAGTAAAAATGCTGTATAAAATAAGCAATTGAATTAAAATCCTCTCAAATAAAATTCAGAAAGAAAGAGTAATATTTTTGAGTGTTGACATCTTGAATGATGATATAAAAGTCTAAGAATCGTCTTACCTAGGGATAGTATTAAGAGTTAACAGAGAAGTGAATATACACATAACAAACAGAGTGGTTTGGCTGAAAGACATATGATAAAGCCTGTAGCTGAGGCAAACAGTGGGAATTAAAAAAAGAACTTACAGGGTAAGCAGTTTTCATTGACATATATGGGAAAAATCAAGGATGAATGAAATTTATAACCAGGAAAATTGGATGAATGTTGATATCATTAGTTAAGGGAAAAGTAATAGGTCTTGGGAAGGGATAGCAAGAGATAAGACATCTGATGCAGAGTTTGTGATACCTTGGTGGCACAGCATGATTCCCTAGGAAGGAGCTGGAAGTATTAATCTGGAAAACAGAAGAGGAATGCGAGACTGGAGATTTTGCTATACAAATTGATGAGGGTGGAGGTATTTACTCATGGAAAGAATGTAGAACAAAAAGACATAAGATACAAACCAGAAAAGGGGCGCCTGGGTCTTCAGTCAGTTGAGCTCCCGACTCTTGATTTCAGCTCAGGTCATGATCCTGGGGTTGTGGGATTGAGGCCTGCATTGGGCTTTGCTCTGAGCCTGGAGCCTGCTTCATATTCTCTCTCTCTCTCTCTCTGCCCCTTTTTCCCACTTGTGCTCTCTCTCTCTCTAAAACAAACAAGATACAAACCAGGAAATTGCAAAATGTGAAGGGTTTCATGCAATGAAAGCTGGAGGGATGTTGAACAAAAAGAATAGCCTATAAACAACATCAAATCAATTAAAAAAATAAAATATTATAAATAATGCATGAGGAAAAATAAAATACAAAACAAGGTCAGATAACGTAGGACCCTCAAAGCCTATTAAATCTGGGAATCAGAAGGTCATTTGGTGACCTTAAGGAGAGCAGTATGAGGGGGGTGATAGGGACACAAATGCAGCTAAGATAGGGATAGATGGTAAGGAAAGGAGACCATGTACTGGAGAGATGGTATGGGAAGGCAGGAACGACAGAGGCATCATACTGGCCATGCTCCTCTGGACAGTTACTTGGAATCTTAAACCTTAGTTTCCTCATTCATAGAATAGGGTAATGATATCAACCTCCCTTGTGAAGATTAAATGAGATAATATATGTAATGTGCCTAGAACAGTGCCTGGCTCATGGTATGTTCTCCACAGGTGATTTACTATATTTAAGAAGTTTGAGAGGGGCCCCTGGATGATGCAGTCAGTTAAGTATTCGACTTCTGCTCAGGTCATGATCTAGCAGGCAGGTTCATGAGTTCAAGCCCCATGTCAGGCTCTCTGCTGTCAGCACAGAGCCTGCTTCTGATCCTCTGTCCCCTTCTCTCTCTGCCCCTCTCTCACTTGCCCTCTCTCTCTGTCTCTCTCAAAAGAAATAAAAAATAAAGAATTTGAGATGGCAGCGTGTTTGGGGTTTCAGGGTAAGGAACTTGTAAGGAGGCAGAGGTTTTATATTGGTTCAACTGTAGCTTGGGCTTAAGAACAAAGGAGAAGACATGGAAAATGAGGTCAAAAAACTGGCTGGGGTTAAATAAAGGTTGTTCTTACATAAAAGTGTGGGAAATTAGGACACTGGCATGCATATTTATTAAGTACCTAGATTTTATGGATCCATGGCAAAGAGATTACAACAAATTATTTGGCTAGGGCATTAGACATAGAAGCTTTCCTTATGCCCCCAGGCTTTAATCTGCTCTGTGCTGGCAGAACCCTTGAGATCCCCCAGTGGTAGCAGGTTGTTTCCTCTGGATGAGATCAATTGTGCCATTAGCCTAAGGGGCAGAGAAAGTACATTAATGGAAAATCAAGTTGCTTTGACGATTCCAGCAGAAAGTTGATGGCTCCTATTAACAGGAGTGTCTCCTGATTTGTTGATGTCAGAATTCAATTTTTTTTCTTGTTGGCGAAATAAAGACTGAACCGGATGTCAGAGTCCCTGTTCTCCCCTTCCTCTGCTCATCTTCACTAATCGGAGTCTAGAGCAGAG